ACAACAGTTTGGTCTGAATTTCTTAAAAGATTATATCTCACAAACTTAGTTTAGAGGGTCCACATTGTCTACACTGTATATAGTGAAGTCTGCAAGTTTTTGAACAGGGAAATTTGCTTTGCAGATCATCACAATGAAAAATTATTGGCCATATTTGCATATCCCTTTTCAAAAAACTTGTTTTCATGACATTATTGTGTGTCGGTGGTCAGGGCTAGTGGGACATTGAGTGTCACCTTTCCGGTGGGGAGGGAGCCTGAGATTGTCTAAATTGAGGTCTGTTCTATAGCAAATGCAGAAAAAATGTCTTAAGAAAGCAAATAAGTTGGTTTTCTAAAGAATATGATTGTTTGCTTGTGGACCACCAGGACAGATGAGTCCTCTGTCACATATCGTGTGGTCAGTGAGGATGGTCACCTGCACTTTTAAGGCCTTTACATCTCTAATCCACATCCACTGCCACTGTACCTAAGGGTAGTTGGGACAATGTTAAAGACTTTCTTCTGCACTTGCATGTGGAACACCTAAATCCATGACAGTCATTCAGGCAGTAATACCAGGCCTGGAACCAAGCAATCCTTAAAATATTACAACATACCAAGCTTCTGTGTTTGAACGCAAAACAAATGTTTTGTTTGATCCAAAGACAATAAATACATTTATACTGATTATATAAGTAATGTAACTTGCAAAAAAAGTTGTGGAAAGCCTAAACTTGGATTCAGAATAACTAAATCTGAGACTTTTTTTCATTGTAAGATTATTACAATGAGGGCAATGTAATTGTTTGTTGTTCAGCAGAGTCCAGTATGTTGACTCATAGTTTTTTGCATTTGAAAATAAAAGTTGGGCTGATTTTAATACCTTTACAGGAAGTGTTGTTAATTATTATTTTTGAATCATACTTGCATACAGTATAACATTAGTATAAGCGTTGTACTAGACATTTCAAAGATAATAAAATCGTTTTTAATCACATTAAGTTACCACAAATTGTTTTTTGATTTAGTAGAACTTGGAATTTTAATCAGTGGGTAAACTATTAGTATGACACAGTCAGTCAAATTATTCTTGGTACTGTATACTTGCAATGAATAAGTTGTTCTAACATAGTTATCTTAAGTAAACATTAGTAGTTCTGGGAACTAATTAGACTTTATAGTGTTTTGAAGCTGATGGTGTCTCTGGAGTCACGGTGTAAGATCCTTCAGAGGCTTGCAGTTGTGCATAAACCTGCCATTCAGTCATCCCTAACAAATACCCACAAGCAGAAGCAGTTGCAGTGGGCCCAGAAATGCATCAAGATTAATTTTCAAACAGTCTTGTTCACTGATGAGTAGTGGATGGCAACCATGTCCCAACTTGAGTGCAACATCAGCAAGGAGGTGGGGGAGTCATGTTCTGGGCTGGAATCATGAGGAGAGAGCTGCTAGCCCCCTTTTGGGTCCTGGAAGGTGTAAAAATGGTAAATTATATAGA